TTGGCGCTCAAAGAAGTTCCCGTATTGTGACGGCGCCCACAATGACCACAACAAAGACACCGGCGATAATGTCGGACCACTTATCATACAAAAGAAAGCCAATTGATTGCATGACACAAATGGATACAAAGTTTTATTATAACTTGTAATTATTTGACGATTACAACCATTATAATAGTTGACACATTTTTAGGGGTTTAGGTATAGTTTATATTGAATTAAATGCAACCAAATTTTATTTTCCCCTCAATTCTCGTGTTTAGGCCTCTAAATGCCTGAACCCTTCCTCTCTTACTCCTAATTTCTCTCCCATTCTATCTCTTAACCAATGATGTGATAGATTTGACAATAATTTTATCATTAAATCGATTAATAGATTTGTTTTTCTTAAATATTAATTTGTAACCAAAAATAAAATATACTTTATATATGTTTAACAAAATTGGGTGTAAATTGTGGACACAATATGTAAAATAAGGGTAAAAATACTGATACTTGTCAACAATTGGCTTAAATCTGATAATTGCGAAACTTATTGAGAGTTTGATTATTTGAATCTCTGCTCCAATTGATGGGAAACTTGACTCCAGAGCTGCAAACACTATGGTTTGCATCACTCACTCCATTACCAATCATCGGATCTTTTTGTCGATCATTCCTCCAATGCATGGAAGTGTGGACTCCTTTTCCCAATCGATTCCATTCTTCAAAAGTGATATCTATTCCACTGGTTCTCCATCTGTCGTATTGTTTCCTCTTCTGTGGATCCGTTAAAATTTCCTTCGCTTTCACTAATTGTTTGAACGATTCGTCCGATTCTTTATTATTCTGTTTGTCGGGATGTAAGACAAGGGCCCGACTCTTGTACTCGCATGTGATTTGTTCCAACTTTAAAGCAATCAATAATTGATTATCAATTGGTTTTGAAACATAAAAAACTATTTTTAAACAATTATATTTACAGAAGAGCTATAATCACAGCCCAGTGTCTGGTAATAGTCTTCTTTGGAACTATTCTTCTTGTGTTCAAACATATTATCCATTTTTAAGTCAACCGAAGAAACAGATTATTCTGTAATCATTATAATTATAATATAAATCATTAAAATAATTATTCAAAAAATAGAATTTAATAAATATTTAAAATATTTCGAAGAATTTATTATAAAATTCTAATCAATGCTAAAAATATTATCAATTATTGTCTATAAATTGAGACATAATTTCACTGATAATAATAGTTACAAATTATGATATAATGACAGATAATATATATTTTTATACTAATAATAACGATAACTCACATCAGATTGAAGTAACAATTATTGTTAACATTTGTGATTAAAAGTAATGTTTAAATAAGAGTAACAGTAATACTGTTGAAGGCTGTAGTCATTGAATGTATGCTTTCATGAAATGACGTTTTGCTGTGTTTTGAGTCATTGAATGCGAGTTTGCCTTCAATTGTATGACAACTCAGCAAACGGTGTAAACAAACAGTCATTCAAGTGATGCACACTTTGGACATGACTTCAGACAATTCACTCCACAAACAGTCCACCAATCAATGGGAAGGTATGTCTATTCATGTGATCACAAGCCTAACTGTCACCTAAACTGATCCATGCATTTGTTTTGATTCGCTATCAGAGTTGAGACGTCAGGCGCGACACTATGAAAATGAATTGGACTCTAAGTTATTGAGTTTCAGTCAATTTGTCTCCAAAGACATCACCAGAGATGACGGGTAAGCCATGTGTGACCATCGAAGAGTGTGGATGTGTTGGTGTGACGATAATGTGTGTGTGATTTGTGTGTTTCAGTAGCGAAACGGTTCCACTAATCTCTGAGTCGAGGGATGGTTTCGAGGGATTGAAGGGTGAGATCGAGGGTCTAGTGATGGCTCTGACGGATGTGAACAATCAAATGTCTCAATACTGTGAACGCGTACAGAACGCCAGCGCAACCATATATACACTCCAAAGACATCGTGAGATTCTTCACGACTACACCAATGAGTTCCACAAAACACGGCTTAATATCGAAGCGAAACTCAATAGAGAACTACTTTTGGGTCCGCACAAGAAGGACACCGGGTTTGACACACATATGACTTAGTTGTCACTTATAATCACTTAATTTGTGTCTCACTAATAGTTTTCGGACCACAACTAACAAGAAGAACGACCTTTTGCTGAAAGAGAGTCAACACATCCGCAGCTCTGAGATTATGATCGATGAACAGATCAATGTTGCCGTTCGCACGCGAGAGCATCTCATAAACCAGAGGAATGCCTTCAAAACGATTCAAACACATATGACAACAATGGCCAGTATGTCGGCAATCAATTGCTATTCAAACCATTCACTCATTCATTCATTGATTGTTTTCTATTTCAGATAAGTTTCCATTAATTAATAGTTTAGTCC